TCTGATAAGAAATGATTTAGATGTCAACAGCAAAACAACTTTTGGGAGAACAATCTTGCACCTCTGCAGTCGATATGGCGAATTAGAAATGTGTAAGTACCTAGTTGATACTTATCCTCATTTATTGGATAGTATCGATATTAATGGAGAAAATGCCTTGCATAGTGCAGTCATAGGAGAAAAGATTGATTGTGTTCATTTTTTAATAAAGGACTGGACATCAACTGTAAATCAAAATCAAGTTATACAGTATTACACATTTGTTGTGTTAGTGGTTCACTAGACATGTGTAAATATCTAGCTAATACGTTTCCTCAACTACTGCAAATTATGAGTGATACTAATGAGAATTTACTACACGTCAAGGCTTGGAAAAGTCGTGTTAATCTTTTCAAGTTCCTGATAGAAAAAGGTATGGATGTAAATAGTAGAACAATTTCAGACAGAAAAATCCTTCATGAATGTTGTCTGAATGGTACATTGGAGATGTGTGAGTACCTAGTTGCTTTTTATCCTCATTGACTGGATAAAAAGCACACGGATGGAAAACTGGAAAACTTGCGTTGCATCGCGTGGCCATGAGTGGTAACATTGATTTTGTCAAGTTTCTGACAGAAAAGGGTCTGAATATTAAGAACAGAATAAACTCAGAAGTAAAAGTCTTACTCATATGGTGTATAAATGGTAAAATAGGGTTATGTAAATATCTAGTTGATATTCTTTCCCAATTTTTGGAAATAGGGGCATTAATGGAGAAAATGCGTTGCATTACGCAGCCAAGGGAAGAAACATTGATTGTGTGAACTTTTTGACGAGAAAGGACTTACTATCGACAGTAAATCAAAATCAGGTGTAACAGTCTTACACATATGTTGTAGAAAGGTTTCTTTAGAGATGTGTAAATATCTAATTAATACTTACCGCAAATTGCTAGAAATAAAGGACACAACGAATCGAGACGCGTTACACATCGCAGCTTGGAAAGGTGGTGTTGATCTGTTCTAGTTTCTGATAGAAAAAGGTATGGGTGTTAATTCTAAAACAACTTCAGGAAAAAGTGTCCTTCACCAAAGTTGTCTAAACGGTACAATGGAATTGTGTACCTACCTAATTAATTCTTACCCTCATTTGCTGTATTGTAGGGACACGGATGGTAGTCGTGCGTTGCACTGCGCAGCCATGATGGGTAACACTGATTTTGTCAAGTTTCTGACGGAAAAAGGTCTTGATATCAAAAGTAGAACAAGGTCACATCTAACAGTTTTACACCTATGTTGTTTCAATGGTAAAATAGAACTGTGTAAGTATTTATCTGATACTTATCCTCAGCTACTGGATGAAAGGAACATATTTGGACAGAATGCATTCTGTCCAAATATGTTTCTTTCATCCATTCCCTTTGATACAGTCTTACACCTGTGTTGTAAAGAGGGTTGTTTAGAGATGTGTAAATATATAGCTAACACTAACCTATATTACTGGAATTCAAGGACCTTATGAATGAACTGTTTTACACGTCACGGCATGGAAAGGTCGTGTATCTGATAGAAAAAAGGTATGAATGTCAACAGTAAAGCCAATGAAGGCAGAACTGTCCTTCATGAATGTTGTCTTAATGTTACATTGAAAATGTACCATGTACTTAATTAAAAGTTATCCTCAGTTGTTGGAATAACGGGGTATCAATCATAAAAATGCGATGGATTATGCTTTTAGAAAAATCACACTTAAATTACGCCATGGTTTTGTAGAAAGACGAATTTAATTTGAATAATATAGCTCAAGTGTTTCATCAGTTAAATACCGTGTACCCGACGATAATTTTTTGGAAGGCAAAAAGCAGTTGTGGTTTGCATTATTGATTTAAACATTTTGTGGAAATAATATCTTTACATCAATGGTAAATCAGTCTGTGGAAAACAGTACAAGGTAATCATGTTAATCAATTAAACTGTTTTTCATTCTGTTTTTCATTCTTCAGTAATGGGAAGACTATTGAGACTCTTTATATACAATAAATATAGATTAACAGATTTTTTAATGTCATATTTAATTAAATGCTCACTCCTCCATGGCATCTAATATTCTGTTCCTCTTTTGTATTGTTTTGTGGACTTTTGATTTAAATACTGTTCGTTAACTCCATTAAGAATCCTGAACAGACTTACTTGCTTAATTGTCTACTTAAAATTGTGAAACATTACTATTGATTGTTTGAGAAAGGATAAATGGACTTCAAATTCCTGAATAAAGCCTTTCAAATTGAAGTTTTATAAAATAATTATTTCTTCACCGATGTCTAAACTGTGTACTCTTGATACATATATATGATTTTAAAACACAGTTTCCAAGAAAAACCAAATACACATTGAACGCTGTTTTTGATATCACTTGATAATCAGAGTTTTTAACGTTTGAATACATTGTTAGCGCTTGTATGTCGGATGTTCTTTGCTATCTGCTGTAAAGAAATTAATTTTGTTTTACTCGGAACAATTAGTTTAGTAACTGTATTTTTGTATCTTATGCGTGTTTTTATGAAGAAAATGCCACAAGGATTAAATGCTTGTAAAGTAATCCTTTATCGTAATTTGTTTATGAAGTAGGTGTGTCGTGTAGCAAGTGATAATGATATAACGCCACTTAATGATGTAAATATCATTAAGCGTTGTAGCGTTGCAATTCAACGCTTAATGCCATAAATTATTACATTAAAAGTTGACATTCTTAACTGCTAATGCTAAATCACCACTAAATGAAATAATTGTATCATTAAGCGGTTAAGAATGTCAACTAGTGATGCAATATCATTAGTGGTTTCTACAGTGCCGAGTGGTGCTACATGTATCTAAAAATGATAATGGGTGATTAACCCAATGTGACGTAGAAATTTTTAAAAAGATCTTCACATACATGTATAGTATAAGAACAAATTTTGAATTATTAAAACAAACGATCTTTTATAACTTTGCCATCTAGGCCTATTTCAAAAAACGTGTGTGTGTGTGTGTGGGTGTGTGTGTGTGTGTGTGTGTGTGTGTGTGTGTGTGTGTGTGTGTGAGGGTGTGTGTGTGTGTGTGTGGGTTGGGGGGGTTTAACAAAATTGATTGGGTTGGATTTACAAGGATTTGTTTGCCTGACCAAATACTTCATGCAAAAACGCTTTGTACTCAAAGAATATTATTTGTTGTTGAGAAGATAAATTTAAAAAGTTCCGATTATGGCAAAAAAATTATCAAAATCTAATTTACATTATTAATGAAATTCTGTTATTTCAATTCACACTTGTTATATGAATTAAGTATTATGAAATACATTTAAGAAACTCATAGGTGACATGGTTAGCAGACATTAACAAGACCTCCACGTGTACTTTAATGACATCCAGTCTGCACAGTCCTTTAATTTTAGATTTTTTTAAATTTAAAAGTTGACATTTATTTTTAGTTAACATGCATGGCTTATATTAATTCTTAGTAAATCAACAGAAAATTGTACGTTAATCAAAAGTTCATTAAAAGAAATAATCTACATAAGCCGATATCCTTCATTGTGTGTAGTTTTCTTTTTCTGCAAATATCGTAAAAATGAAGCAAAAAGTTTTTATTTATATGTCATAGACACCTTTAACCAAATTCATAATTTGGTAGTCACTTTTTATGTTTATAAGAAGTATACTTGCAAATTTTGTGTTGGTTGAAGGTGGTTATGACAGGCGTATGAGTTATCTAACACAGCCACCCTATTCAATTTTCCCATTACACGAATGCTAGTACGGACCAATAGTACCTTACTTTGTGATCCTCTATCATCACAAATACTACTGTATCTTTAACCAATCAATATTTAACATTAAAAACGTTCGATACTGAGCTTTTGAGCGCATTTTGTTCTGGTCCATTATTTATAAAATTCTGCATTATTTTTAAGTTCGAACATTAAATTTGGATTCTACAATGCAAATTGAACTATATTCAATGAAAAAACTGCGATTAAATTCCATTCAAGTAGGATAAAGCTAGGAACTATATTTTGTCGCGGAAGGTTTATTTAGAAAAAAATGATCAGTTTTTTCCCTTTTGAACTATAACAGTACTGTATATTTTAGATTCCTATTTTCCCATGCTGGTTGCACACAAAGCTATTTTTCGCAGTGAAATGTATTATGCTGGTTCTAAAATATCTATTAAACTATTTCTAATCAATTCTTTCAACGAAGTGTGACAAATATAGTAAATATATTCTGAAAATCCGGGAAAAAAATTAGCCAATTTTAATAAAATTTAACTTTTTTAGAAATATTTGAAAATTTACATCATATCCCCACACTTTAAATGTTCTTTTCTAAATATTTAAGATATCTTTGACCTATTTGCTTAAACTCAGAAAAATTTTAAGACTTTAAAATAATTTTCTTGCTTATCAAATTTTCATTGCCAGAAAAATCACATTTTATCAATGCAGAAAGGTCAAATAATTGATTATGCCAAGCAATTTGAAACTTTCCTTAGTTACAATTTTTCAAAATAAGCTTTAATTGGATAAAAATATTGGAGGGAAAACGTCGAAGATGTAATTTTTAATGAAGACATAAATTTCAGTGCAAAAACTTCACATTAAATGTACTAGTACTGTAGTACCAAAAGAAGCACATTCACCACAATTTTTTGATCTGAATTTTAATTAAGCTATGTATGTAGAAACTAAAACTATACTTGACAAAAATGTTTAAGACTTTAAATATCAGGATCCAATGTCGTTAAATTTGAAGATAAGCCTACTGATTAATGCAATTTTAGGAGAGAAAAAAATACTATCTGGAAATTTGTAGTCATTGTAGGCTGCAAAACCGCCTTGTAGAGAATGATCCAAATTTGACCACTTTAATGCGCTTTATCGTAAATACCCTACTGAGCTATCACGTAATCTATTGAAAACTTATGCTATGTCGTAATTCGCTGTAGGATTATGTGACAGATTGGAATTCCGGAGTTTATCTATCTAACTTACCCTGAAAGAAAGCCTTTTTAGCGGAGGTAAAAAGAATTTATAAACAATTTTGGTAAGTACACCTTGTGACTTCGTATTATTTTGTTTGTAGATGCGTTTTTGTTTGTTAAAAAAACCTGCTCTATCATTTGTCGCGAAAAGTTATTTTGAAATTGAACAAATTTGATTCACTTTTATCCGTTATTTTCAGACATGTTTAAAAAAATAATTTTTAAAAAGAAACCAAAACCAAAGGTGGACAAAAGCGAGGGTATGTATACTTTTTAAAAAAAAATCGTCATGTTTATGGAGTGTCCATTTATCAGATTGTGTAATTAAAAAAACAAGATGTGTTTGTGAAATACTATGCGCCCGGCGGCAACAAAATGTGGTAAAAGCTTTTTTTAGCATTAAGTTCACAGTCAAGGTCACAAGGTCATTGACCTTGGTTTCATTTGAAAGAGGTTGATTAGTAGATTACGCGTACAAAATATGAAGTCTCTATCTTTCATTGTTCAAAAGTTATAGTGAGGGCTCAAAAAAAGCTATTTTTAGCATATAGGTCACAGTCAAGGTCACAGACCTTGGTGTCATTTGAAAGCATTAAATTAGTTGAGTATGCATACCAAATATGAAGTCTCTATCTTTTATGGTTCAAAAGTTATGGCGAAGGTTAAAGTTTGCAGAAAAAAGCTATTTTTAGCATATAGGCCACAGATAAGGTCACAAGGTCATTGAACTTGGTGTCATTTGAAAGAGCCTAAGTAGTAGAGTATGCATACCAAATACGAAGTCTCTATCTTTCATGGTTCAAAAGCTATGTGAAGGGTAAAGTTCGAGACAAACAAACAAACAATCAAACAGGCAGACAACAGACAGGATAAAAACAATATACGCCTTGGATCTATCGATCTGGGCGCATGCTAAAAATCTAGGCCAAGATCTAAATGACCTTATAGAACGTATTTGTCGCTAACTCAAATTTTATCAGAAAGGATTTAACATTTAAACTAAAGAAATGCATCTAGAAATTAAAAGTTTAAACCTACTGGCATGTTTGTATCACTGCATTTTTAAGAAATTCTAAACCATTTTCTATGCTTTTAAATCGTATTTATGCGCTCTATCATTGGAGTTATAGGAGAATTTTAACGAATTATCATTTTGAGCCATTTTATTTCTAAAACTACTGATACTTATCCGTCACTACTAATACATTATTATGATGGCCAAATAGATTTAAAAGATAAAAATTGTTGTACATTTTTGTTTTTACTTTATCAATTAATGTACGAATGAATTCCCGACTCAATCATGTACATAAAAACTGATATTTTAGAAGACATTTGGAATAGTGGCCGGTGGAAATTAACATGTCGACACTTTGGTTATTAATTTTAAATTTCCTGCAGTTGGCTTTTCCAAATTTGGAGTTAGTTTACACAATATTCAAGGAATACACTGGAAACCACTAACTATTCAATTGCTTTCTAGTACTTTTTCCGTTGCCTTCGAAGCTATTAAAAAAAACCATCTTTATTTTCTTACATCAAATAACAATAGATAATGTCGCTCTCCTCTATCACTCAAGATCATTTAAGCCTCTGCGTTGTCAAATGTCTTCTTTTCTCTCATTTTTATAATTTGAGTTTTTAATGTTGCGGTGTGCATTTCAATGATAATGTCAGAGACTGGCATTTCATTTATTTAAAGACAATTTTCAAAAATGATTGTCTCTCTGTTTCCGCCCTGATTTCTCTTTTATACTCTGTTCATGGTTTCGTCTTAATTTTGACGGATCGCTTTGGCATGGAAGACATGGTATCGTTTTATCAAAGATCAAAATCTCCAAAAATTAATTTTTAGCTCCAAAACTATGTGGTGAATAAAGTTCAAACTTTTACAGCTTATAAATATATCATTGATTGAAAGATAGAAAATACCATTTCATAACAAATCCTAATTAACAATATTTATCGAGAAAAATTTAATAAAAAAGTGCCTAAATTTTAATAAATACACCTAATTAAACCAATGCTTTTAGAGAAAGCCATCATTGCAGAAAAAGAAAATGTTTATCAGTGAAGGGTAAATGAGACTTTAATATCTTCTGGAAAGTTGTTCTCCATGTTTATTGTGTCAAAATGTTTAAATTTGAAAGCAAAAGTAAATTTTATATGGCGGATTTAATAGGTGGTGGTCTTGTCTGTATACATGTCATGCTTTGAATAAGAGCCATTCAAAGACCATTCACGTCCAACTTGCCCTTTATTGATAGAAATATATTATTTCTGCAATGATGGTTTTCACAAAAAGTACAGAAATAAACAGGTCAATTTTTTTTAAAATATGCGATTTTTTAATATATATTTTCTTGATAATTTTTTTGAAATATTTGTTTTCAAGCGATAATTTCTATATATCTTTTAAACAGTTATATATTTGTAAACTATAAAAGTTTAACTTTATACCTCACATTGTTTTGGAGCTATAATTTTTAAAAATAATTTTTGTACATGTTGTCCTTTAATGAAACCTTACGTGTCCTCTTTTTTACGTTTACCTTACAAGTTCTTATGGAACGCCATATCTGCCTTATGTGGCATTTTTATCAGAAGATGGTGCTTAATTATATTATACTGTGGTTATTTAATATGAAGATGGTGCTTAATTATATTATACTGTGGTTATTTAATATGAAGATGGTGCTTTATTATATTATGATTTGGTTATTTCATATGAAGACGGTGCTTTGTTGCATTGCTACAGGCGTAGTTGATGATCAAAACCACCTGCGGGTTTGTTTTACTTGTTGTTTTATTTGTGGAGTCATCATAAAAGAAATAGCTCTGAAAATACAATACATATTCAATCATAATACAACAATAGTCATTTCTTATTATAACAAATCATAAAACATCAATACATAGCATTTGAGGAATTTACGAGTTATTCCCCTTGAATCAGAGTTTTTATAAAATGCCATGAAAAACATGTATAATTTATAATAAATATGCATATAGCTTCTTTATGTTGACAGTGTAGTGAATAGAAATTATTATTTAATTTCATATTTGCAATTCTCAGAATAAATAGTAAACTTGTAGTTAAAAAATATATAAATTGGTACGTATTTGTGGAACAAAGCTGACCCCAAGATTCTTTCAGATGCAATAGAGTATATACAGTAAATATAAAAAAAACTGGACTCTGCAATATGAATTTAATATCTCGCTCCAAAAATCTTGTATTCGATTTATTAATTTCAGAAGTTAGAAATTATGAATATCAATGTATTTGATTTTAAGTTATACAGTACTACGTGTATTTTAAAAAGTAAATTATATGATACTTACAGTTTCTTTAAAACAGTCAATCAGATTTCCTTAAATTGAGATTCGTGTACAATGGAATGTATACTCATACATAGTCAAGCTGTAAAGTGTCTTTGTCTGAATGTCAGGAATTTGGAGGTATATTTTAGACAAATGAAATTGTAGTAGGATGAATACTATTCATGATCGTGTACCCTTATTACAGGTGTACTAAAAGAAGCATGGGTGGATCCAAAGTTTTATTAATTGTTTATTTTATTTCCATTACATTGTAGTTTGATTCATTTAATCATTTTATTTCATAAATTACTGTTTTATTGAATAGATGCATTAATTAATTCAGTTTAAAATCAGTTGTGACATATTCATAAATATATAGTCAATAAATGATACATTTGAATATCATAATATTTTAAATAGCATAAAACTACCACTATCACACTGTTATGCTGTGGTTATTTCATATGAAGGCAATGAGCTCACTAAATGAAACCCCCCGCCATTGTCATTGCCTGACGTCACGACGTCAGGCTGTATAAGGATTGATATTTGCAAGATCCGAAACCAATAGATCATACCTAGAGAGCTAGATTTTGTGCAAGCTGATTTACATTGGAATTCTTTACCTGCATTTTAAAAGAAACAGTTTTCAGAAAAAAGAATGATATTACTGATGCAAAATACTTAAGTGTTTACTTCCTTTAATCTTTTTGCATGAATCAATTGGGATTTGTGATTCACCGTTTCAACATGTCCGTGTATCTTTTTTTCTGCATTTCTATACAACTGGATCAGTCCATTTATATTCTACGAAATGGGTGAATCGCCCTTTTCGCGCCAAATGTCACTTAGTAAGCTCGTGTCTTTTCCTTGGATTGTTCCATTGTGTGTATGGGTGTGCTAACTTCTATAAAATTAACCTCCATCTAATATTTCAGAAATTCTATCTATAGATTTTATCTCATTCTTTTAATTGTTTAAGTAACATATCGTATACATCAGTATAGGAACAAGCAACACTAAAGAAATGATTTTTTTTCTAATTTGTTTTCCGATCCCGCGGTTGTTTTCTAAATTACTACATAAATGGACTAGTCCAATAATAAACAACGCAGTTCAACAAGTGATGGTTTCCAGATGCATGAACATTTGTATCCCCGTTTCAGATGCACACAATAGATAAGAAACCAGTACAAAATCTTGGATTTTTCTACACACAAAGGCCTAAATATTGAATTTTCTTATATGATAGTGGCACTACCCCACCCCCTCCTCCTTTTTAAGAAAAAAAATTTAATGAACACACATTACTACTGTTAACTTCAGTGAAATAAATTCACTCCAACAAAATGTGTATTTTTAATTATATCCATCTTTTAAAATCTTTACAATGCATGATTACATATGTACAGATATTATATAATGATAGGTGCAATGTAGCTTTCAATTTAGATCCAAGGACAGATCACTCCACTTGCAGACCCCCCCCCCCCCAACAGAATAACAACTCTTTATTCTTTATTATGCCGTGTAGAGATGTTTCTTCTGTAAGTTAAATAAAATCAAGGATTTCATTTACACAAGGTTTTTATGATATAAAGTAAGGACATATTTTAAACCCACAAAAGTATTGCTCAAAAGGTTTATCACTCCTCATGCAGATATTGATTAATTTAGTCAGGCAAGCTTTTTAAAAAGCTGTTACTGTTGAAGCTCTATAATTTTAATGAAATCAACAAAACAGATCTAAAATAGTCTGGTCCTGATTTTTTAAAAAGAAGGTTAGAAATAAATTCTAACGGCAAATAATTATTTTTTGGTCCAGCTTAGCTTTTTAACCTATTTCGAGTATGCTGAATCCGACAAAAATATGCTGGCCTTCATGAAAATGGCGTTAAAGAGTTCAAAATTGCGATTCAAAATGGTGGACATTTAA